GCTACTTACCTGACCAAATCAAAATCCCAGAAGTTTAATTTACTTTATGCTATACTCTGATTACAAACTGTTCCTTTAATTTTTTTTGAGTAATGCATATATATATATATGCAAAATTTGTATGCTGCATATATACAGATATAAGCTGAAAACATATATGTTCAGACAGACAGACAGACAGACAGACAGACAGACAGACAGACAGACAGACAGACAGACAGACAGACAGACAGACAGATAGATAGATAGATAGATAGATAGATAGTGTTTAATTAAACGCATCAATTGATTCCTTTTTTTATTATTATTATTTAGCTGCAATTATGGCACATCACTTTATAAACCAAACTTATTATTATAATGACTAATTTATTTATTTATTTTTTAATTACTTTAACAATATCACAAATAATCCTCCATATAGTAAAAGTAATCAGCTACCCTTTATGAACCATTATTTAACCACCAGTTCACTGGCCACATTCAGTCCTAAGTACTCTCAATAAAATACTATGGAGCCAAGAAGTTAGAAAGAAAAACATGATAACTGACCATTTTAAATGGTGCAGCTCTTCTTTCTAAGAATCTGGCCAACTCTATTAGTTCGCCAACACCCTGACAGCCCAGGGTGCAGACCAGTTAATAATTACATCTCTTTGCAACATTTAACCCTCAGTTTCCCTCAACAAAATTTCAAAAATAACAAAGCTTCTTCATTTTTTTACTTTGTAATGTGCACCAGGTCCTTAGCCTAACTTTTAGATGAGTTTTCAGAGTTTCTATCTCATTTGGTGTTGAATACTGACAAGGTCATCATAGAGGGGGGTTTTAACATCCATGCTGACATTGAAGGTAATAGCTAAAACCCAGCCTTTAATGCCATCTTCAATTGGCTTTGTTAAAATAGTCCCACACATTCTCATCTTCATACTTTGGACCTTAAGCTGACTTATGGCATTGAATGAGCATTTAATAACTTTCAGGATTACTTCAACAAAGTTCTCCTTCCCCAAAAGGTTTCAATTAAGCAGTTCATTATTAGATAATGCAGTTATAAATTTAAAAGAATCAGTTGCACTTTCTATCTCCTCTGTATCACTGAACAATACTGCCGATTTTTTATTTATTCCCGTTGACTAATTAATGATTTTGTTGATGGGGTTACTACTTTACTGCGTATTGCTTTAAACAAGGTGGCCCCTTTGAAAAATAAAAGGTTTAAAATAGATATCTGGTGCCTTGGTTACATAATTAACTGCAAACTTTCAAGCAAAATGCTAGGAAACTGGAGAGAAAAAGGCACTCTACATGCATACAAGAATCCTACCTAGTTTCAAAATAACAGTTTACTCCAGTATAAAATTACCCTTTATAAAGCAAGATCAGCATATTTCTCTTTATTAATAGAGAAGTATAAGAATAATCATAGAGTTATTTTAATACAATTGCCAAACTAACTGAGAGCCATAACTCTGTTGAAGAATCCACCTCCCCACCCCGCTGCTCTTAGCATTAAAGATTTTATGATATTCTAAATAAATAAAATTCATTCAAATAAAATAGATCATTAGCACCCCTCTAAGTATGACTGGTTTATCTTTGGATGCTGAAGCAGTATCTGATCATATCTGAACTAGGTTTAGATTATCTAGGTTTATAGAATTCCCTTTTTCATCTATGTAACATTACAAAATTAGAAATATCTTGTCCAGGGGTGATGCTGAGCAACTAGCCCATGCATTGTTACTTCAAAGTTGGACAACTGAATTCTTTATTACAAGCAAGTCTACAAACTGCAGTTAAAAGCATGAGGTCTGATGGAAATTAAAAAGAGAACACATCCTAGCTTCTCTTCATTGCTTTCCACCTTAATCCAGAATAAAATTCATAATCCTTCACACATATAAAGCCTTAAATGGCCAAGCTCCATCTTATATCAGATATCTGATTGTACAGTATGTTCCTAACAGAGCACTTCACTCTCAATCTGCAGGTTTATATGAGAGGTTGATATTTTAATTGTCAGGTTCCTCTCCTGTGGAACCAACTACCAGTTTTAGTCCGTGAGGCAGACACGGCGTCTACTTTTAAGGCAAGGCTTAACATTTTCTTTTTTGATAAAGCTTATAGTTACAGTGGCTCAGGTTATTCTGAGTCATTTCTGTAGTTACATTGCTATAGGCTTAGACTGCTGGAGGACATAGGGACAACTTTTTATCATTCTGTCTCTATTCTCCTGTGCTGCAATATTTAACTTTATGCTTTCTCTGTTTTTTCTAATCACAGCAGCTTGATCTGCTCTGTTCCTGTTTGGCTGTGACACTATCCTAGAGAGAAATGTAATTTGTGATGCTGCCATCAATACCTTTGTTAATAGATGTTTGAGACTGGCCTGTATCTTTCCTGGACAGGAAAACCTCTGTAGCTATTTAACAGCTACATTTTATATTTCTGCTTCTTTCTGTATCTCTGCTTCTGTGTCCTTGAACCCTTGTCGCCCTTGGCAGATGGACGCTCGTACTGAGCCTGGTTCTGCTGGAGGTTTCTTCCTGTTAAAAGGGAGTTTTTCCGTTCCACTGTCGCTACAAGCATGCTTAGTGTGAGGGATTGCCTTCAAGTCAATGATGTGATGCAATCAGCTTGGTGAGTATGACATAATGGAATAATTGCAAATCTTCTATTGGAAAGTAAGCTTGTATGAACGATGCAAACAGCAATTTTTAAACAGAGCGCGCACGAGGAGAAATGGCTCATGCATTCTCTTGCATGCATTTAAAAGGTGTTCCCACTCGGGGGCAGATACAGGGTTGTCCAAGCACTTTTTTATTTTATTTTTAAGTGAAGAGGGCAAGTCTTTTCATAAATTTGCATAAATCCTCCACTATACCTTTAAATAACATCTACCAATCTGGAAAAGGCTTCACATTAATGTTTAAAGATTGGGAAAGATGTTTACTGCAGTGAGAAACACAAATGAGGAAACAGCAAGGAACCTTCTTAGAAGAGATCAGCCGAACAAAAGTGATTCAGAAGCGGCATGGTGACTCAGTCAAGAGGCGACAAAAGAACCAAATACATCTACAGCATTGTAGGCCACATGCAACTTAATTTAAGATCAGAATGAGTTAACAATAAAAATGAGACAAGGGCAAAAATTGCCCATATGAAATGTCGAAGATGAGAAGCCCCGATGACCAGAAAAAGCAAAGCAAGGTTAGTCTTAATTTGCCTTCCAAAAACCTAAAAATCCAAAAGATTTAGTATAAAACGGGTTCACATGAGGAAACCGTCTCCTCCATACTTCATCCCCATCATAGGGTGAGCGTGATGGATCCTCCCTGCGTTCACACTCAAAGCCGTGACCAACAAACTTCCTGGCAGACATGATGCTGAATCTGCTGCGACTGCAAACCTTCTTTGTTTCTTTTTCTTTTCATTTATTCTATTTTTGAGCGCAACGGTAAACCGCAGCTAGGTTAATACCGCAATCAAATACATCTTTTTATGCAGGCTCCCCTCAGCAGCAGCGATGAGTCTGAGGGGAGCAGCTTTAAGTGATGCATTGTTAGGCTTTCGTTGGAATCATTATGAATACACTATGTATACGCCCAAATTGGAAAAAATACATGGAAAGTTCAGCATATGCCGGCGTTTTAGGAGATTCTGGGACGTCGGGCATACGCTGGCTAAATCAAAAAGGTGTGAAAGGACCACGATCACATTTTTTTTTGTTCCACATTTCATTTAAGCAGTAAATTTTGATAAATAACGTGAAAGAGTTGAAGGTGAATTATTGAACTAATCTATACCAAACCATTTTTTCCATTATAAAAATATTTATGATTTTATCATTGAAATGTGACAAAACCTTTTTAAAGTTGAACCATCTGTGATAGGGCAAATTTTTTTTTCCTTTCACTGCATGAAATAAATTGGTGTTAAGCAACTCACGAGTATAATTTATCACATACCAACAGCAGCAAACAGGCACATCACCAGCAGGATGATGACACACCAGAACACGTCCACATTCATCTGCCTCTCCAGCTTGCTGCGCTTGTATCGCGGGCCGTTGTTGTTCAGCATGGCTTTGGTCTCATGACCTGCAGAGATACGAGGCGTGTTGGTGACAGGTCTTAAATGAAGTGTGACTCAGTACAACAGTCACTCTGTGGAAGCTGACCAGCATAAATGACTATTCCCACAGCTTCCTCCGTGTTGCGGACGGTGCAGCCTCTCAAGAGGAGGTTTTCCTTGTAAAGTGCGTCTCTTCTGCCACTCCGGTGGATTCTGAAAAAGTGGAAAGAGCATGAAAAAAAATGTGCCCAAATTACAGAAAACAATCATAATTTTTTTAGGTGAAAAATAATTATATTCTTTATTCCTTCCTGACTGGAAAACAGCAGTTTATTCTTCCAGGGTGCTCTAAGCCAGCCCCAGTACGGGCCAGTACTCCCTGCACTGCAAAAAGAGTCTAAAAGTAGGTAAACATTTGTTTAAATAAGTGTAGATTTAAATTATTTTGCAGTGCGGGGAGCTGTGAGACACCAAGTGGGGGGACATAAACATGCATGTCCAATGAAATAAGTGAATGCAACATTTATTTAGTTTACTGTATGATTTAAATATTAAATAAACAATATAAAATACACAATTAAATAATTCAATGTAACATTAATAAATAAAAGTACATTAAAAATATCAATTAATTATTATTTTAAATAAATTATTTAAATATTGTTCAATTCAAACTTAATAAAATGACTTCACTCGTTTTTTTTTTAATCGGATCCCTAGTGGTCCGCTCGTGTAATTCAAGGGGTGCATGAAATATTTTATTTCTCAGGTGATAAAATAAAACACGGCTTGGATCTGTAGTACTTTGTGAGGACCCAGCTAAAAAATAAAACAAGCCCTTTACAATCGAAAAGTAAGTTTTTCTAATATGATTGAGTTCACCTTCAGCTGTGCTCCACTCAAAACCAAGCAAAAGAACAGACTGGATGTGAGAAACATCCTGGTATCTGCTGTTTTCCACATCTAAGCTCATCGAAGCAGCTCAGGTGTCATGAGTATTGGAAGAAAAAAATAAAAAGAGTAAAACAAATGGACTGAATCTGCAGGAACAGCACCTGCCCCATTCTTCTGTTTGGCTAATGCTGTTTTAGAGCGCTCCTTTGCTACCATTGGCTGACAAACGCAGGAGGGATTTCGATTGTCTTTTTAAAATATATTTACCATCAATTTATTTTCCAGTGATTTTTTTTTTTTACCCACAGGCAATCGCTATGAGCCTGAAATCGGGCCTAGGACCAGAGTACTTTAATCCCTGTTAATATTAATAGAAAATATGTCAGATAAAAAAAAATAAAAATAGAAATATGTAGGAAGAGGAAAGAATTTAACCTCTTTCACAGTTAAAATTAGCAAGATTAGCAGTAGAGCTGACCTAATTTGAAAGCTTAAAATGAACTCTTATCGGGTTTAAGTTAGTGCAACTTTTTTCCCCACTTGATCCTCGTTGCAAATGGGTAAAAAGAAAATAGTGGTTAGAGCTGTGGGCTTGTGCTCTGAGAAGGTTGCAAGTATCCGGTTTGATCACCCCAGACTGCCACTCTGGATCGCTGAGCAAGACCCTTAACCCTCCACACTGCTCCCTGGGCAACTTTGTTAAATGCAGAGAGTGAATTTCTCTAAGATTTTCTCTCTGAGATCAATAAAGTTCAATTTCTATTCTCATATATATGTATATTTATCTATTATTCAATAACTATTGATTCAGACTGATATTAAAGGCTTCTTCTTATGATAGGTTTTGACGTTTAAAATGCTTCAGTGTTTGTCTGCATTAGTAGGTACCAACCTTCAGCCAAAACCAGTCGTCGTCAGAGGTCCAACAATCACTAAGTTCTTTATGTTTTTGTTTTCACACACTCTTGTTTTAACTGCAGCCGTTCTGTAACAGACCTCAGACGTTTGTTAGATAACACCATGGCGAAGACAGAGGCTTCCTCTAACTAGCTTAAAGCACTGCTTCCTCCGCTCTGTTGAAGTCACGCTACTATCAGGATGTTTACCAACAACCAAATTCCTGCTTTGACCTCCGACACCAAATCAACTAACACGTCTCCACAGATTAATAACAGAGTTTCCCTGAACTCTGAGCTGCTAGTTCACACACAGCTGAACCAAGTTCATGGTTAGCACTGATAGAGAAGCAGATAACACCCTCAGAGATTGCTCTCTCTCCCTCCAATGAGGGAGGAAAGATTAGGCTGGGTGTCACTGACCGTAATGTAATAAAGCACCGGTGAGCCGAGGCGCTGAGCTCTACTGTAGCCTGGCAACTGAATACCTGCAGCATCTGGTCTCCTTCTGAGCAAAGAATACATGTCATAGTTCCACAGATTAAGCCAATATATCGGATATGTTGATGCTGTGACACCGTGAAACAGGGAATCCAGTTTCTCTTAATATTCTGTTCATACCCCAGTGTAGATGGGTTCTGATGAACTCACGTGAATAAAATAAAGAAAATCTTTTTAAGGAAAAAAAAAGTCAGTTTGGTATTTTCGCTTTTCGCAGATAAAACTGATAACTCTTATCTGCACTGTACACTCAAAGCCCTGTTTTGCTTCAGAAGTATGTTTAAAGGAATAGTACACCCAAAACATGATTAGCCTTCATTTTCTACTCACCCCCATGCTGAACAACACTCTGGAGTACTTTTTTGATATCTCAAATGCATCTGGAGATCTGGGAGGCTTCTTGCTGTCTGCTGACATTCAAATAATGGAGGTCTATGGTGCCTGAGACAGAAAGGTCCATAAAAGTCCACAAAAAACGTGTCAATATTCCTCCATACTGCTCGTCCAATGTATTCCAAGTGTCCTGAGTGGGTAGCATCCAGAATTTACTCGAAACAAAGTCATTTAGAATGTTTTTAGAGCATAAACAGTAGTGTACAGGATTTCCTGAAAGCGCGTTCACGACGCTACGGAAACCGCGGCAGACCAAACCGGATGAAAGTGCGCATTCAGCTCGGCAAAGAACTCATGCTCTTCCTCAACACTGAAATCCTCAGACATTTTTCTTTCGTTGTTTCTTTCTTTGCACAGGTAAACAGCACATTTCTTCTTCTACGCTTGCAATATCGGCAGAGCAGACGCTGAATGCGCACTTTCATCTGGTTTGGTCTGCCGGCTTCCGTAGCGTCGTGAACGTGCAGGCTCGCGCTTTCAGGAAATCTTATACACTACTGTTTATGCTCTAAAAACATTCTAAATGACTTTGTTTCGAGTAAATTCTGGATGCTACCCACTCAGGACACTTTGAATACATTGGACGAGCAGTATGGAGGAATATTGACACGTTTTTTGTGGACTTTTATGGACCTTTCTGTCTCGGGCACAATAGACCTCCATTATTTGAATGTCAGCAGACAGCAAGAAGCCTCCCAGATCTCCAGATGCATTTGAGATATCAAAAAAGTACTACAGAGTTTTGTTCAGCATGGGGGTGAGTAGAAAATGAAGGCTAATTATGTTTTGGGTGTACTATTCCTTTAAGGTTAATTACCCAACCATCAAATTAATCCAGTTAAATTCATTCATATAGTGCTAATATCCAATAAATGGGTGATTCTCAATCTACAGTTAAAGGTTTAATGGAGGATTTTCAAGAAATTTTGAAATAGACCTGCCCTCTCCTTAAAAAAAAAAAGAAATGCACATGCACAACCCTGTACCCGCTCCCCAGAGGAAACACCTATTGAACGCGTGCGAGAGCATCCACAAGCCCATTTCTCCTTCTGCACGCTTTATTTTTAAGTTGCTGTTTGCATCACTCATACAAGCTTACTTTCCAAAAAATGATTTGCAATTTTTCCACTATGTCAGACTCATCACCGGTAAGTGAAAATAGGAATGAGCATGTAGGAGGGCCTTCTGTAAACATATCACCAGAATGATTGACAGTTAGGAGGAACACTTATTTAGATAATCCACCCGGAAAAATAACATTCTCCATACCTTTAATTTTGGTCATATTTTTCAGATCCAATTCATTTTTTCAGAAATATTTAGATTGGTTCTATTTCATCACAATGTGTAGAAACATTAAATGATAGTATATCATATTATATCATATATAATATTACATTTTATATAGAGCTAGATATTACAATGTTTCGCATTCCTTTTGTTATCTCATACATAGAACATGCTAATCTGTTTTAGAGATTATACTCAAAAATACACAATATAATATTGTTTTTTTACATTATTATTTGTACATTAAAATTAAATTAGCTGTTTTGAGATGATGATCAATAAACCTACTCTTGGCTTTGCAAAACAAGTTTCCATGAAGCCCACTTTGTTATCCTGCCATTAGCTCTCCTCTCACATGACAACTGATGTCATTACAAGTAGACAAATATTAAAAAATAGTTATAAGGTGCATTTTGTGGTGGAAATGACAGTGATCCCTCAGGACAGGTAATATAATTATAAAAAAAAAATAAAATACCAGTGTATCCTTCAAGTAAATGATAAATTTAAATTCATAATAATAAGGAATTTCTGTGTCACTTGTCAATAAAATTGCTCAAATCAAATTTAGTATCACTCTTATGAGGGAAGGAGAGTAACACACCTGACCAAGGGACAAAGGACATAATGGCAAAAACATGACTATAAAAATTGTAGCTTATACAATATAAATAGTAATTTATCTATTATGAATGCTTTATCAGTTTATCTTTATGTCTAGCAAGAGCATTGTGAATAAAAAAATGACAAACATGTATTGTTTTTTTTATATATCTGTCTGGGAAACAAATTCTTTGATTGTTGGAGAATCACTCAAATGTATCCTGAAATATAAAACTCCACTCAGTAAGAAAGGGACTAAAAACTAAACATTTCTTGTTTGGATGCTAACAGAGCCAAGCTGACCTGAAATGATCTAACTAAAGCAGACCAATCAGAGCCAATGGGCTTTTTTTAAGGTGGGTAACCGTCAACAACTTATGTTTTTACAGGAAACATGTAAACATGTGAAGGTTTTGGGCAGATTCATCTAAACTTTACAGCTGTTTGAAATGTGTCAGCCTGGTGGATGATGCAGATTAGTCAGTCAATGTTCTCCGTGGCCAACATCTGTTTGATTGAGGGCTGAAACAATTAATTGGATTAATCGTGATTAATCTATTTTTTTAATAATCGTCAACTAATTTATTAATGCATTAATAATTAGCAGGAGTACAGAGACTGTTAAATATGCCTTTA